TGATTCAACTATTAGAATTTAATATTATGCTCATAGGCAAAATGCTGATATGTGTAAAAATTCTGGAAAGATAATGGTTTTTCTTTGCCATGAGGAAAATTACCAAGTTTCATTAGGAATAAAATAACATGCCACACCACTTAAAAATATGGGTTTTTTGGCCAAAATACTTTGCATTTTTAAAAAAATTCCTAACCTAGTCTTAGAAAGATCACTTTGCATATAGCTGAGAAAAGTAGGGCAGTCATAAATGAATTTGCCAAGAACTCTATGATCTGAGTCCCTGATGAAAAGTCATTAAAATCAACCTGAAAGACTCTATTATCTCATCTTGCTTTATGAATAAACACAATCTGGAAAATATGCCCTTTTAAAGGAAGGATTTGTGGATTCTATGCATATTTGACGGTAGCTTTCTTCCCTTCCTATGGTTGTACATCTGTAAAGATCAGAATGCACTGATATAATTTACCTATGAAAAGTCCAAGCACAATAATATTAACAGGTAGGATGAAAAGCAGCACAGAATGTAAGAAAGGAAGGCAGGAAATAAAAAAGGAGGTGGGAGAGAAAAAGGCGAGGAGGGAGAGAAGAATTCTCACCAAACCATGGAACTTTAATCAGATAATTTTTTAAAGGTTTGAAATAGTACGTAATATGCTACCCAGACAACAGCCTCTTGAGAAGAATCTCATTCTACATATCTGTCATGTAAATAACAACCTGATATGTCCACGGTTGTACCATAATAATAACTCAGACCTCAACTTGTTCTGTCCACTATTAAATTAAGACAACAGACAAACCAAAAAGCTATGACAATTCCTAAACATGGATATGCTGAGTGGGTGGTAAAGATGCAAATGGAAATCTGTCTTCCTTATCTGACTACAACCAGAGAAAGACCAAAAACGATCACTAACAACATCCAATATCACCTCCTGGCATAAAAGTGTTTTCTTAATTCAGGAATCCACAAGGTCCTTCCAAGAGACAAAGAGAAAAGAAGCATTATCAGAACCCATTAAGATAAAGAGTTTACACTTCTCTGGATTTTGTTTTCCTGTCCGATGAGTGTACTTGGAAATCTGGGAGATGATTACTAACATTATGGACGCTCCAGTGAATATCTGTAGTGGTGTAGAGACTCTAAAAATAAGGCACATATACATGTTGCTCTCGGACTGTCTCCCACGAAAGTGCCCCGAGAAAGCGATCTCAAGAAAGGGACTTCAGGCACATTTTGTGGAGGTATATCTTTTTCAGCCTACTGGCTTCCTACAGATGGCTAAAGCAGGGTATGGAACATGCTGTCATATTTCATTCATAACACACATGTACTGTAGCTCCAGGCAACAGATGGACAATCACTTGTTTAAACTACAAATGTGAAATACTAAGGTAGCATGGCAATATTTCTAGAAATGTCTATGAGAAAAAGAAGCCTTTCCAAGCCAAGAGGAGTGGTGAGAGGCTGGGAGGTCACATCAGTGTTTCCCTGATCTCCCTAGCAGCTGTCATAATTTCCCCGACACCCTTCAAAACGTGATGATGGAGGGATCAGGGGGCAGCCGACACAGATTTGACAAGAGAAGCCCAAACCATATCAAATAGAAATAACACTGTTATCCCTGGCTGGTTCACATTAATAGGATTTTTACTAACTAGGAAAACTGTTGGAAGTTGTGTTTTCAGAGACCGGTCTATATTCAATAAATCCTCTACTACAGCCCTCTTGTCAAAGTGCTCTCTGTCTTCCTCTGAACCCAAATAAAAACACTTGTTTAAATGTAGTTAGAATTTTATAGACTTTAAACATCACCATAAACAATTTTTCAGAATCTTGCGTGGTGAGGAAACAATGATAGTGTTGATAACTTGGTTGCATTGGTCAGCAGACAGCCAATGAAGTAATCTTTATCAGAGAAGTTGCCCCTACATAAACAGTTTAGCAGTGACAGGGAAAAAAAAAACCCACATCTTTGAGCTGCAGAGATGTCCAGCATCTCAAGGCCTCGATGCCTTATGCTGGGACACATGACTTAGTTGTGAGTTTCAAATGCAATTTTGATGACAAACAAGACTCCATGTTGACTCAGTGTGAGCTAGGGATCCAGACAGTAAAGAAATTTGATTTTGGAATGGTGTGCAGAGCCCATGACATAGTGGGTTTCTTTTTTCCTTTCCATGTCTCTCATCACACAGAATTACCAAATATCTGTGTTCTTGACAATTTTTTAAAGCCCGTAGAGTTTAACAAACTTTCTCTTATATACTTTGATTTTTCTATTATTTATGAATTTAAATAACAATCAAGACTCTATACCAAAAGACAAAATAATTATAATTGTTCAGGTAATAGTGATCTTTCTGTCTCTGTTATAGGCAAAACTTAACGTAACTAAAACACTAAAGAGTGATTTGGCATTAGTTTAAACCAAAGGATTAATAGAAAAGACAAGAAAGCAATATAAATCATATACTTAAGAAATCCTGGAACAAAATAATGTAGGATCCTTTCCTTACTATATCTTGTGAAAGAAAAGAAATCTGAATCTAAATCTTTCTGCATATGTGTGTGCACATTCATTATTATAAAAGTATAATAAGTCTATATTAAAAAGAGATTTACTTTAAAACTCTTTGGTAAAGATACTCTGAGGTTATGTGATAAAAATGTACTATAAAGACTGAAAGCCACCAGTATTCTGGCAATGCCACAGTGATGGGTCTGTGACAGCATTTTCTTATAACTCACTCTCTCTTTACAATGTTTTGGCTTGTAAACATTTAGTTACACAAGGACTTAAATGTAGCAAACAAGTAGAATGTTATTGCATTTTTAGGGTATAAATATTTCATACATTTTCCTCTTTTGGCAAAATTCATAATAATATGACGGCGCTTCAAGAGATAAAATCCATCCCTCAATAAAGTGGGCTTTTGGCCTAAACACAATTTCCCCCCCAAGTATTTCATAGAAAACAAATTGCTGAGGCAATTCAAGCAAATTACATTATCTCTCCAATTGTCTAATAGTTAGTGCTTTTTGAGGTCATCAGTAAGTCTGATCTTGAACGTGGAGGATGGAAATTCAGAGATATAGTCACTACAGTATCTTCAAATTCACACGCTGCCCAAAATGAATCCCAATGTGTTTCCCATTAAGAAAAATATAAGGCCAATGATAAGAGTAGCAAAGTAAGGAAAGGCAAAGTTTTCCGAGAAAACTTTGCAAAGTCCCAACTTTGGCGGTCTCTTTGGATGACCAAGGCAAAAAAGCCACACATTAACTTAGATGAGCTAATGACCATAGGCTTAAGAATTTCTTATTGAAAAAAGAAAAAAAAAAGAAAGAAAGAAAACTGAACAATCATTCCTACTAAAGTAAAGTTGATGTAATTGGAATTCCTGAGGCATGGGTATAATTCAAAACAGGCACAAATACTTTTTCATTTCTGTTTTGAGTGTTAAAATTAAAAATTCAAATAAAAGTCAGACAAGAAAATCAACTTTATCACTTAATCATGAAAAAGGTATTTGTGGACTCAGGAAAGGGTGCATAAGGGGATGTTAACTATATTTGTTATATTTGATTTCTTAAACTGGGTGTTATGTATATAGGGATTCATTATATTATTATTTATATTTTGTGTATACTTAAAATACTTCATAATTTAAAAGCATATACTTGTGGAAGATTTGAAGAAACGTTTAAGAAATCTCAATCCAAAATACTTGATTAGTTTACAAAATGGCAACCTGTCGTTACAAAGATGGGCGTCTTTCTTTAAAAGAAACAAGTTAGAACCAAAAGCAGGGTACTGCAGTTGGCAAGCAAGCATTTCAATGCCCAGTAAGAGTTTGAATAAAGATTCTAGGCAGAGACTCTGCACATTTTTAGCTCAGAAAGGCATTTTTTTCCCAGCAATTGTCTTTGAAAAGTGCGGTATAAATGTCACATCCATGATATGAACACGTCTCCCGTGATATGCAATTTGAGTTGCGGCGGGATTATGGGAGTGATGAAACTGTGGTTTCACCATTTTTTCAAGCTTTCCTGTCTTTTTAAAGTAAACTAAACAAAACTCCACAATTTTATTTTGTGTGCTCAGATTTGCAGTTGTCAGGCAAAAAGGACCCGGGCCTGGGGTGGGGTGCGGGGGGGGTGGGGGGAGGAAGAATAGGAACAGTTCTTTACGACTGTCTTCCCCCACAGAAAACTCAACTTTGGTAGTTGTGTTTGGATCAAAAAACAACATGGCAATATTTCTGAGATGAAAAGCGGGACAGTATTGTAAATGTAATGTTCCAGAGAAAACAAAGTTTGTCTGAATTATGAGGTCTAGGTAGCACGGAAAAGGGAAATCTTAAGAGGGAATGGTGGGATAATAATAAGCTTTTCAAAATACCCCCAAAATGCTTTTTTTCCCCTGCATATCCCACTTGTAATTCCTTTAGAAAAAAAAAGTGAACTTTGGATCTCTCTCATCAATAACTGTTTTCAAATGAGCCCTGACCACTGGTCACTACAAATTTTGAATTTCCAATCAAATTTGGTTGCAAATTAAATTTGGGCTTATTTTAACCTATGTAATTTACAGCTTAAATTCTTTGTAGCCTAACATATACATGGCACACTATTTTCCCCCCAAAGAGGCATGACCGGTTTAGAGCAACAGAAAGATGTACTTTTTAATACACAGAAAGAGTGGCTATCCTTCCTGTTCACAGGCCACGTGGAACTGACAGGACGGACCCTTCAAGCCTAAAAGCACCTGTGAGTTGGCCCGACTCACCCAGGAAAAACTGCGTGACAGCAAATACCACACTAAAAAAAGCCATTCAACCAGATGAAAAGTGAGACAAACATAGGGATTAAAAGTTACAGGAATGCAGAAGTGAATGGGATGGAGTATAATCCGTGCAAAAATGTGGAAGTCCTTGCGAACAAAGGCCCATCAAGGTCCTACATGATTAAATGTGAAATGTGTATTTGGTGAGAACGTTAAAAAAAAAAAAAATCTCATTATCTATGTGCTTCTAAAGAAAGGTTAATATTAGAGGAAGAACAGAGACCATCTCACGGCTTGATTGCCTTTCCTGTCTATTCCCATTTCTTATCTTTGTCTTGTGCTTCCTTCTTCTCAGCGCCCCCAACTAAGCAGCTCAGCAGGTGACTGTATTTAGAGGTCGGTGCTGGCCTTGGCGGTGAGCACCCTGATGCGGGCAGAGTTGCAGGTCTTACAGAGGATGTGTCCATCCAGAGGGTAGCAGCCTTGGTTGTCTCCTTCGGACAGGAGACCACCACAGTCCTGGAGAAATGGAAAGGATGTAAGAAAAACTGGAAACTAGGAACGTGAGGACTGCTTTCCTTAGCTTTCCATTTGATGCCTCCATAACGTGGTCACTTCCTACCTTTCCTCTTCCTGTACCACCAGACCCCTCCAGTCCTTCCCCAGGATACAACATACCATCTGGAACTAGGCCGAATGAGAGATTGGGGGCATAAATACAAAAAGGGTAAAACGAACCCCACCTCCCACCGCCTCAGGTTACATCACAGGAAATGCAAGTTCAAGAAGAGGAGAACCCAAGGGTCTGGGACCTCAAGGAGTAATTTTGTTCTCTCACCCAGGCAACAAAAACAGCAAGAACAAGAGAAAATAAAATAAGAGGAGATCCCTAACTTCTAAGTCATCTTAACCCTTTATCACAATTCTTGGGATCTCTCAAAAGGAATACACAGGCGCAGGGACAGAATTCCTGGACCGTTTCTGGGCAGAAGCAGGTCTGGAGAGGGCCTGCTTCCAAGCAGAAGGGCCAGCCCTAGGCTTCGCATCCTGGCTCCAACTGTAGCGAGAAAACAAAAACCTGAAGTGTGCTGGGAGTACTAGTTTGCTGCATGTTCTGAGGGAGACAGTGCGGTGTGGGAACGTGTGACCGGGAGCCGGCCCCTCCCGGGGGCGCCCCTTAGCTCTGCCTTGGTGTCACTGAGAAGAGTTCCTGCGTGTCCAACTCACCAAGCCTTTGGGAGGATCAAAGAGGAAACTGGATGTGAATGTACTTTGAAACAAATGCAGGGAGCACCAGAGCTGGGAAGGATCAAAGAAACGTCCTACTGTCAATAACACCTCTGCAGCTCCATTTTGGAAAGTGACACGTAACCGCCAAATGCTGGCCCTTACTTTGGGAGGACATGGAAGATTCTTTGAAAAGAAAAATACAGGACTTCCTCTGGCCGCATGTGGCCCTCGCTCACTTCAGCAGAAACTCTTCTAAAAGGCCAGCACCACCGCACACGCCCTGCTGCTGCTGTCTACTAAGACAGTCTGGAGGTCACTGGGGCTCCCGTCTGTATGTGGCTAACAACGAAATGCAAGCTCAGAAAGGGCAGGGCTGATAAGCTCACAGCAGCAGCAGTGGCGGCAGGAGCCAGGCTGGCTCCCCAGAAGCCGGCCTTGCCCCAATGAGCAGCCATCCTGCTGCTCTAAGGGCACCCGGGACACGGTGCGTAATGGAATTAAATGAACTCTTCTCATCGCGATAAAGAAAGAAGGGAATTTCATAAATGACACGGCCGTAAGCATCTAGTGAGCTGACCTCTACAGTCACCTGGGCACCGTGAAGAGCCCAGAGTCAACCACAGTGTCGGCACCATCAATGCCTGGACTCTGGGAACCCAAAAGGGCCACTGGGGTATCCAATGCACCCTCCTCGTTTCTATAGGGGGGGAAGTGAGGAGCAGAAGGGGACATGATTTCTCCAGTGTCACGCGGTGTCTGAGACAGGGCTAGAATGATGGTCTGCCCTCTTCTAATTCAGTGCTCTTCCCAGGCTATAGCACTGCTTTATAAACAAACAAACAAAAAACCAACTTCACAGGCCTTTAAAGCAAACTTAATTTGTACTGCTCTCATTTCACTGGGAAGGAGGAAAGGCACCTTTATGCAACTCTGGGCACAAAACCCCAGGCCATTTAAGGTCAAAGCCTATTGGTATGCATAGCTAGTGTGTGGGCAGTGTTGGGAAGCTTTTCTTCTTTAAGCCTCAGTTTCTCCTTCTGTAAAATGACCTCAAAGGCATCTGTCAGCTTTTTCACACTTATGAATCAGGTCGGTTTTAAGGCTGGAGGTGGCTGTTCCTCCGTAGTCATAAAATCCGGCATAAAAGCTGGTAGATTACCTTTTCTCATGTTAAGGACACAGAGACAGATGCAGCTTGGGCTCTAGGGCAAAACAAAGAACCCCACATCAATCAGGTGGTGGGTTTCAGCTAGAGCAGTGAGTGGATCGAACACAGTCCTAGAGAGCCAGGGGAGGCCCCGTCCCCGGTGTCTTGGGAAGATCACCCAGCGGGACTAGATGAACCAACGGGCAAGGGTGTGGTGGTAAGGCAGTTCAGACTCTCCTTCCCAGAGGGAAGAGGGAGCTGGTAAGTACCGTCCTCAGATGAGCCAGTAGAAAACAAGAACATGGCTTCAAAGAGGGGGCTCTGCGTAACTAGAACCAGGATAAGAAAACATTTTAAAATCACTTCCTGAATGTAGTGCCCTTTTGATATACAGATTATAAGGGAAGGACTTGTGCCCTTTGCTGTAGAAATGACTACATGTCCCTTGGGCAAGAAGCCTTCCTTGTCATTTTCAGCCTGGATTATGAGCCTCTTATGTGTGTACCCACAGCACCTGTGTGTACCTCTGTGGGGCCCTTAGCAGCCGCCTGGCCTGACTTGACCTGACCGCCTGTCGTATACGCTCAGTCAGTGCCTGTAACTCAACCAATCTCTGTGACTTGGAGCATCAAGCTTCTACTGCTTTGAGAGGAGTTAATTTTCCTCCTTTCCCCTGAGTGAGGATGACTCTTGTGTCCCACAGAAGTATCAGAGCCATGGTTAAAGAGCAGTGTAACAATAATAATTATACTAACAAGAATACCATTTGTCCCTAATTTAGCACTTTGTGATTTACAATGTCCTTTAATACCCAGTTTTGCATTTTAGTCACTCAGCCATATCTGCGGAGGTTCCTAAGGATTTGCGTCCTTTTCACAGGTGGGGAAATTGAGACTGAGTGGTGAAGTGACTTACCCAGTGTCACTAGCATTAAATGAAGGCCTAAGATCTAAAACCCAAGTCCTGTGAACACAGACATCAGGGGGCTTTCCCAGCTTGAATAATTGCCGTATTTTTGGAAACCCAGCTCTGCTGGGCCTGACGGGGTGGGGGAGCTGACCACAGACCTCACAGCGGTAGCAATGAACGTGGAAATCGCGATCCAGAGCCACAATCCGGACAGTCTCCTCCTGGCCTGGGGCTGGCATGATAGGCTCCTTGCACACAGAACATCGGGGGGCAAACTTCCTGTAAATGGAGACACAGGTCTGGTTAGATGTTGAGGATAGACACTGACCAATGGGGGAGACCCGGAAGTGAAAAGAAAAGGAGTTAGCAAAGGGTCAGGACATCTGCTCTGTCATCTTGTGTGACCTTGAGCAAGTCACTTTCCTTCTCTGGGTCCGCTTCCTCAGCTATAAGGGATTTAGACTTGGTGATTTGTGGAGGTCCTTCTAGACAAGAACATTGTGATATTTGGTGAGGTGGGGAGTTAGTGCATGAAGTGCTTCTAGGAGCTCCTGGCCACTTGATGTGTGACATGAAGTTCGTTGATGGATAGATTGCACACACCGACCCTGGGCTAGGGAAGGGGCCTGGGGCCCTTACTTGTTTCCTTTGCTTGACTTTGTCTTGCTTGACTTTTTGCTTCTAGACTTGTGTACTTGCTCCCCAGGCCCTACACAAATATTCTGAGGTTGTTAACTGTGTCATTCTCACTTACTAGAGCTTCTTTCTCTCAAACTGAGCTCTAGGAATTAACACAAGAAACCTCAACCACACACCTTGTCAAAACAGCAGAGGGTAGCCGGTCTGAGTGCACCAAACTTGACACCAAACGCACTATGACCCAGTCTGCACTTCCTACGTTTCAGTTGTGTTAAACTGTGGTTTAAAAAGAAAAAAAGTTCCAAAGCCATCAAGTTCTTTATTCTTTTTTTTTTTTCTTTAAGATTTTATTCATTTATTTGACAGAGAGAGAAATCACAAGCAGGCAGGCAGAGAGAGAAGGGGGGAAGCAGGCTCCCCACTGAGCAGAGAGCCCAATGTGGGGTTCAATCCCAAGACCCTGAGATCATGATCTGAGCTGAAGGCAGAGGCTTAACCCATTGAGCCATGCAGGTGCCCCAAGTTCTTTATTCTTTAGAGGGTCTTCGCACTTCCAAAAGGTGTAAACACTTCCACGTGTAGACACGCATACACATACATGTGCTTTTGAGACTAATTGTTGGTGAGGAATCTTAATATTTCCTGATCTCTTACTATTCCTTAATACAATCTACGGCCCTAAAATTTGTCTCTCATAACAGATTAAGAGGCTGCAAATACAGGCTGTGCGTTCATCTGTATCTCCTGGAAATTAGGGGTGGCATTTGGGAAGGTGTGAAATGAGACATGATTTGAAATGGCCATGGATTAAAAACTGAAGAGATGGAGGGAAAAAAAAAAAGACAAACAGACTAAGCGAGCCGGTTTTTTTTCATGGTAATGGTTTTGAGATTAATGACGTTAAAATTTATCTATTTGTAGCGAGACTTAAAAAGAAATAATGATAGTAATCGAATACTTTGCAGAGCACTTTATGGGTGTCAAAGCATTTTTACATACATTATACTCTATATGTACATATTAATTTTCTTGGCAGCGCCCAAAAGGCATCTGTGTGGCTGCGATCTAAATAAATATGAATTAAGCAGCAGATCAATTGATTGCTATGAAAGAAAAATTAAAAGGATCATGGTACAACTGCAGCAGTAATCAGAGTTGTTATAATTGGCATTTTATGCGAGAAATTTACACCCAGTGGTAAAAAAAAAAAAAATGCTTTGGACTACCTGATTATTTTTGAATCTGGGTCACCAGTAGTGAAATAAGCTGGCTTCTGGAATCCAGCGTGCAGACTTTCCTTTCCCCACGCCCATCGAGACTGTAGTCTGTGAGGTCAGAAGCATGTCTCGGCCCATCATTGAACTGTGAGCCTGCTCCTTTTTCCTCAGCCACAATCACTTACGTCTTTAGGATAAACAATCTTTCACTGAATTTGCCTATTTTAGTCGTGATTGTTTGCATATCTTTGGGGACCACTGAACTGTGAGTTTCTAGCTGGCAGGTTTTGCTCCATCTCTGAATGTCCGGAAACAACTCCTACGACCAGGGCAAACAACAGAATTTCAGGCTCTATCTAATGAAATGAAGCGTCTGCCATATTGCTCTATAAAAAGATGTTACTTGGAGCTTCATGTTCAACCTCAAGGTCCTTCCTCTTTGGAACGTCATAAACTGTATTCTCGCTGAGTCATGATTCCTTCCTACCGATTGGCCTCATTTCCATGATGGGAAAAAACAAAGTGAAGAGACAGGAAGTGGTTTCCACAGTCCCCACAGTGTTCTTTGGCCGGCATTTTGAAGACTTTTCTAAATCCCAGTTGGTCTGTTTCAAGGCTCAGCTCACTAAGCAGACAATAATAATAATAATAATAATAATAATAATAATAATAAATTTGAGAAAAAAAAACCAGTTTTGATGGTTGAAACAGCTACCATATATTGTGTGCTGATTACGTGCCAAGGCTTGTTAAGTACTCTGTGCACTTGACCTCATTTTTTTAACTGACAGCAACATTATGAAGAAATAGTTTTTTTTTTTTTTAACATTTCTGCTTCATAGCCACAGGAGCCAAGGCTCAGAGTGGGCCGGTCTTCATCATCTTTATCCTGGCACATTTCTGGCAATCAACAAACGGGTGCTGATTAGACAAATAAGTGGATGGGTGTAATGTCTCTGATAAGAAAGCATGGATAGTGAAATAAAGGATCAACGCAATGAAAGGGTCAGCTAAATAAGCCGGCTCTTCTGAGCTCACTGTCCTGGCACTGGGAATACAGAAATACACTAGGGCTCCAGCAGTCCTACTGGTGAGGCAGTTCTATATATTTCTGCATTTGTTCTATTAGTCGAGATGTACACATCCTGTCATATTGCAAAAATGCAATATGTAAAGATATGTAAAACTGGGTGCGTGTATGTATATTCTTTATTACTAACCAGGCTATGGTTAAGTACTAGGTATACCCGATTTACAAAATTCTACAGAACATAGAGAGATATAAATTCATACAGGGTGGATAGGGAGGGGTTGAGGTCAGGGAACTGTTCTCAGAGGAGGTGGTAAATGAGCTGGGGCTTGAAAGATGGCTATTTAAGTGAAATGCAAAAGTGTGTTTGGTGTCTGGTGTGTGTGTGTGTGTGTGTGTGTGTGCGTGCGTGTGTGGATGAGGGTGGATACAGTCAGTTTGCCAGGGAACTAGTTTGAGCAGTCATCTGAAATAACATATGGGAAAAGAGTGGGTAGACCTAATAGGATGGAGGACTTGGGCCAATCTTGACTGAAGGTAGTTATGCAGGGGATGGCCCATTTACAAGGCCTCAAAAATAGTATTTGGGAAGCTTATTACTCACCGTGCAGTCCAAGACCACCGGGGAGCTTGTCAGAAATGCAGAATTGTAGGTCCCACCCCAGACCTACTGAATTAGAATTTGCAGTTTAACAAGATCCCTAGGTGACTTGTAAGCACATTAACATTTGGGAAGCACTGGTTTAGAAGACAGGATGCTAAGCAGGCGAGATGAATCCCTTCTCATGGGCCCTCTGTGTCTCACAGTGACTTCCACTCCCAGGCTGCTCTAGTTACAGCCAGGCAAACCTTCCATGAATTAGAGAAGCCCTTCCTCACTTTGTGCCCTTCTTTATTCCTGAGTTGTTCCTGCTGTCAGGAATCTCCATTTCTCACTTAAAATGCTCTTCAAATTCTGCTTCCAGAAGCCTCCCCAGATCTCAGGGCCAAGTAATCTTCTCTGACTCTGACAGCTCAAGCTTTTGCCTCTGCCTGTCTCATTGTGTCTGGCCCCTTCTGCCTGATATCACACATACTCTGTGCTTATTCTCCCCCTGCTCCTGGCAAGCTCCTTGCCGACACGGGCTTTTCTCTCCATGTCTGTGCATTTTCTACCCCTGCAATTTCTCTCTTTGGATCTCTGTCCTTTAGCACTGAGCACATAGAGGGCTCTTTGTAGACGTGGTTGAATTGAATTGAAAGATACCCCCTCAAAGCTCACAGAGTGAGACCAAGAATCAAGGCCGCCCAAAACAGTCTGCAAAAGGAGGCTGCATCCCCCAGTGTGCTCTCTCGTTAGCCTGGCAGTGCCTACCCTGGGTGGGGCTTTTAGCTGCTTTGTGTTCTAGTACTTTCAAGGCTCACAAACAGAGTTCTGCAAAATGTATCTCTAATTTTCCTTTGGGAAATGGTAAAAAGATCAAAAAGCTTTCCCCACTACATACCTGCCAATCATCCAGACAACATTACTTTTAAAAAAATAATCTGTGTCTTAACATGCCATTGAATTGGCGCTGGAGCTGGGGGCTCAGAGATGGTTCTTCTCTTTTAGCTGCTAAGACTGCTTGTCTGGAGTGTTCAGACCCACACACTTATGTCACCAGCCCCAAGTCTCTAATTATGCTCCTCACTCTTAGAAATGAAAGATAAATGGCAGAGATATAAACTTCCATTTGTCAGAATTGATTTCCTGTTTTAATTGGGGGGTGTAATAGATCAGTCTTTTCCAAGCAACAGAAACATGTGTGCTCCGATTACATCTACCTGTCCTCCTTGGATTAGGGTACGTCTAAGAAAGGAGAGAAACCGTGACAGAAACACACTCCCCATCGGTATCTTTTCACTTCCCTTAAATAGATGCAGGTTTTTTTTTTTTTTAATGTGTAATTACAAGCTAAAAATATCAATAACGTGAAATACAATTTATGCTGTGACTGCCCTTTCAAAGTGAGCCCTTACTTGTCTAATTCAGGTTGAGAATTCCTGCCTCTGGGAGTTTTTTTTTTTAATTCATTCAGCCTCACGTCTTTTGGTGAGGTTTTTCAATTTCTTTGCTACTTGGAAAGTGGTCAGGAAATTCACTTTTAAAATAGAGGAGTCTCAGGTCCCCAAACTGCCTGTGGCAAGTTCCTCCTGATTGTTGACAATCAACAGAGCGATGAAAATTAACCCGCAAGACTACACATCTGGAGGTCATAAAACGGAGACCCAAACTGGGGAGTCACGTGAGCTTTATCTCTGGGAGAGCTTCAGACTGTCCTCAAAGACCCAGACTGCCCAGCAAGGAAGCCAGAAAGCCTCTGTGCCAGCAGCTTGTAGATCTCCACTGTGGCTTTCGTATCATTTCTAAATATATGCAACAGATCTCATCAACTAAGAAAGGGGCCAAATAAACAGAAGCAAAACACAAAATTGTACAATTTTCAAGAAAACCCCAGCTATGACAGAGGAAGAGGGCCCAACGAATGAGAAAACTGAATAAGGACACATCTTTTCCAGGCCCATGAGTAAGTGGTCTTGACCTTGAGAGTTGACTTCCCAATCTTCCTCAAAAGACTCCACAAGACTACATTCATTAATGTTATTAGAAAGTGTCCTGAGAAAGAGAAGGCCTGGGTCGGGAAACAGGTTATGGGACGATGTGAATGTGTTGCTAATGACAGGAAAATGACCCCAAAATGTGAGGGGCTTGCCCTAGGAAGAGGGAGTGAACTGTTCTGTGTCCATTGCCCTCTCCATATTACCCCCCTCTGCAGACTGGCAAAGATATAGAGGACGGCTCTAGAGAGAACCTTGGACTGTCACACCTGGGGAGCTTTAAGACAGGCTCTGTTCTAATGAGCAGACTGAAAAGCTCCAAGACATTCAGCAATTTGTCCACTGTAACACATCTTGCTCATGTATAGGCCAGGGAAGTCTACCTTAGGATCCTTCCTCTTTCCAATACACATATTCTGCAGCTGAGTCAATGTTCTTAGTATCAGAGCGGCACAAAGATGTGACAGATCAGCCCCAGGGCAGCCTGTAGGCAGAAACAAGGCTGGAGGACAGCTGGATTAAGTGATACCCATTCCTGCATTAGGAGAGGGGGATAAACAAGCCCTTCTTAAGGTCCCACCAAATCCTGGGATTCTACAGCTTTGACAGAGGAGAACGGATGGCCCAGATATGAGGCTGTGAGAACAGATTTCAGAGGGGACTGGCAGGCTTGAGGGAACAAAGCAGACCGCCTACTTGTGGAAGTCCTCAATGCAGTGAATGAGGCCACCAGCGTCCACGGTGAATGGGATCCCATCAAGGCTGCGGTGGCACATCACACAGGTAAAGCAGTGAGGATGATAGGCCTTCCCGGTGGCTCGCAGAATCCGCTCCATGATGGGCTTGGAGCACACGCTGCACTGCTCCAGGGTATTCTGGGGAGGGAAAGAGACAAGCCAGTGTCAGGTCGCGACTTACAGTGCTCCATGTATATAGTCCCTTATAGCATGACTAGCACCTTACAGATACATTGGCTCGTGTGCCTATCACAGTACCTGGAAGAAGGCAGAGTGCGCAATAAGGAAACGTGTGAAATAGATCAAGTGTCTTTTTTAAATTCACGCAGGGAGGTGGTGGCAAATCTAGGATTTAGAACACATGTCTTCTGACTTCTCTCCCTTCTCTACCACTACTGCAGGGTTGATGGCAAATGTTCCTGTGAAGGCACAGAGAGTAAGTATTTCTGGGTTTGGTGCAGCATTTCAGTTCTGCTGTCATAGGGTAAAAGCAGCTGTACACAGTACTAAGCAGATGGGCATGACCTGTTCCAATAAAACTTTATTTACAAAAGCAGGCTGGAGTTAGCTCACAGCTGCAGTTTCTGGACCCCTGACCTGAACTACATAACCCAGGTTCTCCGCTGGAAGAACACGTGACTGTTTTGAAACCTGATTAGTCATCAAAAACCTGGTAGGGTCACCAAGGACCTTAAGATTTTAGAGTGGTCTGCCTGATGACAGACATACACAGAGCATGCTGGGTGCAGAGCCCCATCAGAGCTCATCATCAATGAGGCTACTGATTATTTTAAGCCTTGATTCAAACACCACCTCCAAGTTCAGTGTTGTGAACTCTTGATAGAAATGTTGAATCTGGAGGGGCTCCTGTTATGATAAGTGAATTATGATAGTCAATTCCTCTGGCTTAAAAAAATATGCTGAACTTTAAAAATGAAAAACAAAAACGCTCCCATAAAAGGATACAACATATTGAGTCAGGACTCCAAAAGATTGATAAAATTTGCTATTAACTTTCTATCCTTCCCTAGAATCCCATGCTGTCTTACCAAACAACTATGTTTCCCATGTAATATGCTATATTCCAAGTGAGATGTCTGGACTGATGGGGAGTTTACAATCCAGAATAAACCTGAGAAGGGGGTCTGATTAGAAAGATGCAGAACTGGAATTGCCCTCTCACCACAAGAACCTTTAAATGCCTGTAGGCATCAATGCTGATGTCTCCACCACAGCAACAGTCTCTGACTGGCTTCCTCGTTTGCATTTCTCCTCCTATAACACTGTAACTCCTATAACACTATAACTCCCTATCCCCAAAATGATTTTTGGTTTCCTTTCTAAAACACAGATGTGACCAAGTCACATTGCTGCTACCAAAAACTTCTATGGCTCTACAATGTGAAAAGCCCTCATTCCTCAACTGACATCCAACCTCCGTTTCTAGGGTCAGGTTTTCCTAATGTCTCAGACTGCTTACTCTTATTCAGACCTGTAGGAAACTCCCATGCTTCTGTGCACAGGCTAATGCCAAGTATGAACCACAGTTTGTCATTTTGCCCTTTCAAGGTACAGATCAGAAGGCAACTTGCCAGTGAAGCCTTCCTGGATGCCTTCATTTGCAATCAACACCTTCTTTCTCTACCCTTCCCAAGCACTTAATTAAAATTGCTTATAGCATTACAGTGTCCGCTGTATTAAAATTATTTGTGGGGCGCCTGGGTGGCTCAGTCAGTTAAGCTTTTGTCCTTGGCTTAGGTCATGATACCAGGGACCGGGGATCGAGTCCCCCTTTGCTTCTCCCTCTGCCTGCTGCTCTCCCCTGCTTATGCTTGCTCAGTCTCTCTCTCTGACAAATAAATAAATGAAGTCTTAAAAAAAGTTATTGGCACATTTGTGCAAACTAATTTCTTTAAGGGAAGGGGCCATGTCTTTCTTTTTAAAGTTTAAAATTTTAACTCCAGGGCAGTTAACATAGTGTTATATTAGTTTCAGGCGTACAATATAATGATTCAATGATTCTATCTATCACAGTGATTCTGTATCACACAGTGCTCATCATGATAAGTGAATTCTTTTTTTTTTTTTTAAGATTTTATTTATTTGACAGGCAGATGTCACAAGTAGGCAGAGAGGCAGGCAGAGAGAGAGAAGAAAATGGGCTCCCTGCTGAGCAGAGGGCCTGATGTGGGGCTCGATCCCAGGACCCTGGGATCATGACCTGAGCCGAAGGCAGAGGCTTTAACCCACTGAGCCACCCAGGCGCCCCGATAAGTGAATTCTTAATTCCTGTCACCTATTTCACCCATCCCCCTACCCACCTTGCCTCTGGTAACCATCAGTCTGTCCTCTAGAGTTAAGGGTCTTGTTTCTTGGTTTCTTACTTTCTTTCCCTTTGTTCATTCGCTTCCTTTCTTAAATTCCACATATGGTATTTGTTATTCTTTCACTGTCTTATGTTGCTTAGTATTATACACTCTAGCTTCATCCATGTTGTTATAAATGGCAAGATTTCATTCCTTTTTTTGTGGCTGAGTAATATTCCACTGTGTGTGTGTGTGTGTGTGTGTGTGTGTGTGTGTGTGTGTACACACACACACACATCTTCTTTATCCATTCATCTATTGGTGGACTTGGGGGGCTTCTGTAATTTGGCTGTTGTAAACAATGCTGCAATAAACATGTGGAATCATGTATCCTTTCAAACTGGTGTTTTTGTATTTTTTGGGTAAAAACCTCAGTAGTGTGCCACTGGATCTCAGGATAGTTCTTATTTTTAACTTTTTGGGGACCATCTCTACTATTTTCAATAGTGGCCACACCAGTTTGCATTCTAACGAATAATGCACAAGGGTCCCTTTTTCTCCAAATCTTTGCCAATGCATGTTGTTTTTTGTGTTTTCGATTTTTAGCCATTCTGATAACAGTTCAGAATTTCATTTCCCTGACGGTAAGTGATGTTGAGTATCTTTTCTGTCGGCCATCTGGATATATTCTTTGGAGCAATGTCTGTTCTTGCCTTCTGCCCATTTATTAATTGGATTAGTGTGTGTGTGCATTTGTGTGTGTGTTGGGTTGTATACTTTATATATTGGATACTAACCCTTTATTGGATATGTTCATTTGCAAATATCTTCTCATGTTTAGTAGGTTGTCTTTTAGTTTTGTTGATTGTTTCCTTCGCTGTGCAGAAGCTTTTTATTTTGATATAGTCCCAATAGCTTATTTTTGCTTTTATCTTCCTTGCCTCAGGAGACATATCTAGAAAAATATTGGTATGGCCAATATCAGAGGAATTACTGCCTATGCTCTATTCTAGGATTTTTATGGTTTCAGGTCTCACATTTAGGTCTTTAATCGATTTTGAGTGTATTTTTGTGTATGGTGTAAGAAAGTGGTCTAGTTTCATTCTTTTGCATGTAGCAATTTTCCCAATACCATTCGAAGAGAATTTTTTTTAATTTAAATTTTATTATTTTTTTAAAACATATAATATATTTTTATCCCCAGGGGTACAGGTCTGTGAATCACCAGGTTTACACATTTCACAGCACTCACCATAGCACATACCCACCCCAATGTCCATAACCCGACCCCCACTCTCCCAACCCCCCTCCCCCCATCAACCCTCAGTTTGTTTTGTGAGATTAAGAGTCACTTATGGTTTGTCTCCCTCCCAATCCCATCTTGTTTCATTTACTCTTGAAGAGAATTTTTGAAGAGACTTTTCCCACTGCATATTCCTGCCTTTGAAGAGACTTTCCCACTACATGTTCCTGCCTTTTTGTCAAAGATTAATTGACCATGTACTTATGGCTTTGTCTCTGGGCTTTCTATCCTGTTTCACTGATCTGTGTGTCTATTCTTGCGCCGTACCATACTGTTCTGATTACTACAGCTCTGTGGTATAATTTGAAATCTGGAACTGTAATAACTTCAACACAGTTTTTTCTTTCTCGAGATTGCTGTTGCTGTTTGGGGTATTCTGTGGTTCCATATAAATTTTAGGATTTTTTATTCTAGTTCTGTGAAAAATGCTGTTAGTATTTTGATAGGGATTGTATTAAATCTGTAGATTGCTTTGGGTACCATGGACATTTTAACAATATTTGTTTTTTCAATCCATGAGCATGGAATATCTTTCTATTTGTGTTATCTTGAATTTCTTTCATCAGTGATGTAGTTTACAGAGTACAGGTTTTTTTCTCCTTGGTTTAAGTTTATTACTAGGTATTTCATTATTTTTGGTGCAATTGTAAATAGGTTGCTTTCTTAATTTCTCTTTCTGTCGCTTCCTTATTAGTATCTAGAAATGCAATGGATTTCTGCATATTGATTTTGCACCCTGTGACATTACGGAATTTATTTTTCAGTTCCAGTAGTGTTTTGGTGGAGTCTTTAGGGCTTTCTATGTATGTAGTACCATGTCATCGGCAAGTTGTCAAGATTTTACTTCTTCCTTACCAATTTGGATGCCTTTACTTTTTCTTGTCTGAGTGCTGTCACTAGAACTTTTAGTACTATGTTGAATAAAAGTGGCGAGAGTAGACATTGTAGTCTTGTTCCTGATCTTAGGGGAAAAATTCTCAGGTGTTTTTTTTTAACCATTCAGTATGATGTTAGCTGTGAGTTTTTCATCTATGGCCTTTACTATATTGAGGTATGTCCCCTCTAAGCCAACTTTTTTGAAGGTGTTTATCATGAATGTTGTACTTTATCAAATGCTTTTTCTGCATCTATCAAAATGACCATATAGTTTTTAACATTTTTCTTGTTGATATGCTATATCACATTGATTGATTTGTGAATACTGAAACACCCTTGAAACCCAGGAATAAATTCCACTTGATCATAGTCATGATTTTTTTTTTCATGTATTGTTGGATTTAATTTGCTAATGTTTTGTTGAGGATTTTTACATTTGTGTTCATCAGTGATATTGGTCTGTAGTTTCCTTTTGGGGGGGGTGTCTTTTTTTTTTTTTATTTTTTTTTTATTTATTTTTTATTTTTTTTTTAAGATTTTTATTTATTTATTTGACAGAGAGAGATCACAAGTAGACAGAGAGGCAGGCAGAGAGAGAGAGAGAGAGAGGGAAGCAGGCTCCTTGCTGAGCAGAGAGCCCGATGCGGGACTCG